TTGAGATTAATAAATCACATTTCCTTCCCTTACACTTGTGGTAAACTTATTAACATTATTTAGTTTTTTTTTTTTTTTAACATTTTTATCAACACTCTTTCATAATATTCTTCATGCTGTTAGACATTTCTAAAAAATCATAATAATAATATATATTATGTTATTACTATATGTACAGGTTAAAACACATAATGAAATAGGATATATATTTATAATGTGTAAGAAATCATTAATATTAATATATTATCTATTTTTTTTTTTTTTTTGATGTTTATCAACACTCTTTCATAATATTCTTCATGCTGTTAGATATTTCTAAAAAATCATAATAATAATATCTATTATGTTATTACTATATCTACAGGTTAAAACACATAATGAAATAGGATATATATTTATAATGTGTAAGATATCATTAATATTAATATATTATCTATTTTTATTTATTTTGTTCATATTATTGAAGAAAGTCCATCTAATGATCACAATGTTAAACAATTGTATACATACAAGCAGGCATTATCCATTAACAATATACACAAACAGTGTTAAAGAATATGGTGGAGATTTCCTTAATATTAAGATAATACTCAGACGATATAGAATTTTTTTCTTGTATGATATATTGATGTAGGTTTTTTTATACTATGGTTTCAATAGAAAGTTGCTCAAGTCATCTATTTCATTTTTTCTAATTTAATAGTTCCTCTTTTAGTTGTTAATTCATATACTTGTAAATAAAGATAAGATTCATTAACTTTTTGTTTACCTGAACATCTAAAAAAAAAATATATATTAATATGGACTTGAATTTTATGATTATTAATAAAGATTGATCTTTATTAGAAGGTTATGAGGCATGTTGATGCCAAAATAAAAATTTTACTAGTGTTATTTTACTGTGATCGGCAAAAATTTTCAATAGTCACGTTACACGAATCAAAAGTCCACTATGCTATCGGGGAGTAATGACATAATAATAAAATTAATTCACAATGGTTGACCACTATTTTGGATTTGCACCATACATAATAATTATAGAAAATAATCGAAGATTTAAAACTTAAAATGTAAAGACTCGATAACCAATCGAGCTGGAGGAATAACCTTTCCGCATTGTATTCCAAACACTCAATTAATAGCCTGCCAGAGAGTTTTTTTTATTTATAAAGGTTCAATGATTATTTTCGATGATCAACCATTGCGACAATAATCTTTCATTTGCATAAATTATGTAATTGATTTTGTTGCAGATAAATTTATAGTAAAGAAAAAAATTACAAGATGATTTTTACGTTGATGTGACAAACTATTTTGTATTACCTGCAAACATGTAGTTGATAATAACAAAAAGTCGACAATAAACATTTAGAAAGTAATTCTCATAAAAAAATAAATTAGAAGTACAAAAATGTATCGAAAGAATCTTTAATACAACATTTTCCCAAGCCTTTCAACTTCCATATAACAAATTATGTAAACATATTAATAAACATTTTAATCTAAAATTTATTAGAGCTTCTTCATCTCAAAAAATTATTTTGTTATATTCATATTTATAAATCCAGAAGATGAATTGATCAATGAATGAGTATATATTGTAGAGATAATGAATTTTGGAGGAAAATTAAATTAAATTAAATATTGGGCTGATAACCAACAAATCTCACTATTACTTCCTAGGATTGCTTTAGAGTAGAACAAAGAATTTCATGTCACAAAAATATTTAAGTGATATATGATTCAATCTTTCAGAAAATTCATTAGAGATACCTAATGTTTTATATTACAACGAATAATATTGATTTAAAGTTATTGTTTTTAATATAAGATTATAAATTTATTATAGCGCATAATCTACCACGCATAATTTAATCGAGATTATAGGAATTGTTCATTATTTTTATCATTCGATCGTGTAATATCAAATCCATGTACAGACAGATCTGTTCATAAAGGTTTTTTGGACGGGCAAATTTATATCTATATCTATATTACACAGAGGTATAATGAATGAATGGTAAATTCATCAAACAAATATTTCAGCTTGTCTTTCGTTATACATATCAATGACTTTAGGATCAGATCGTGTGAGGAAGATTTGATTTTGTCCTTTAGTCAGTAATAACATCTTTGATTTCTTCCAACGTCAGCGAGATAACTTTTTGGTCAATGTTGTTCAAATCAACTTTTGAGCTACACTCGTCGATTGATTGCTTTTTTTACGAATTTATCCTGCTTGCTGCCTCTTTCCTGTACCTAGAAAGCTTCGACGGATCTGCACTTTTATGATACAATTAACAACAAATAAAACGTGGAAGCAATGAATGCTTTACTAAAGTTCCTTGCTTGTTTACTTTTTGCAACAATACTTTAACACAATACAACAAAGTGACATGTGATAACGACTTCCGGTTAATAATAATAAATGTCAACAACACTTTATATCTAGCCGAACAATCTTAGTACAAAAACACATTCTTTTACAAAAACAAAAGCGTTTACGCTTAACAAAAACCAAAATTAAACCTTTGCTTTCTACCAAAGCAAATAACCGAAACCGGTTAAAAAGCCTTAGAGTTCTATAACCAAATGTACAATTATTTCCGACTACAACAATGTTTTTATTAAAAATGTTTGTTACAGAAATTAATTAATTTTCTGCCACTTAATTAATTAGTTAAGTGGATAATTACTAGTTAATAGTAGGTAGTTTGATTTGAATAGAATGGTGTGTTAAGATGCAGATGAAGGCAAGATACTTGCGATTTGGTTGATTTTTGTAATTAATAGTGCGCGATCAAATAATACATGATTGGATGATATTTGAACGACTCACTAAATTGCAATTGATTGAAACACATTTCATTCATTCCATCAATAATAGTGTGATTGAATAAATTCTTTGGAATATGAAAACTCATTTAGAAATGATTGGATGACCCAATGTCTTCCGTCCTCATTATGACAATTGAAAATGGATGTCTAATACTAATACTAAATATATTATGACAATACGATATTACGGCATGTCAAAAGTCGTACAGTTTGGGCTGATTGATACCTTTTTTTATTATAAAATATCTTATCGAAATCAAACCGTGAAGCGGCATAGCCTTTGTTATCAAGAAGATAATAAAAAATGATTGGTATATTTGCTTTTCATAATAATTATATATTAATAAGAAAACGTCGGGGGTCAAGAAAGCAACACGACTATTGAACGCAAGCTACGGCAGGTCAGGTATATAAATAAAATTTATTCTTATTATTGTTAAAAGATTATTTATTATTACAACCACCTACCTATTCAATCTGAAATCATAAAGTATGAGAAAAATGGTTTACTTGAAGAATTCTCTTTGGTAAATTATGAGGTAGGCATTTACATCATTCATTTTTACCAACTATATTTATCATATATCATTATCATTATTATCATTTTTGTTGTTTAAAGATGAATGAATATTTTAATTGTACAAAATTTAACCAATAAATTTTTTTCTTCCACAATAAATAAATAATTTTTTTATGATTTTTCAATTGTTTCTATTATTGCAACGCAATATTCACTTAATGGTTTAATGCACCATCTATACGGATTTAAAAATCCCTCAAACCAACCTAAATGTCCTCCAAAACTTGTAGTTACTAATATAACATATGGATTAAACCTATATTATCAAACAGACAAACAAAAAAACAAACAAACAAACAAAATTATTCATTGATATACATTCTTTTCCCTCCCTATCTCTTGTTTGTTAACTTACTTGCATTCATCATATGGTATAGATTGGACGGATACAATAGGATCATCCTCTGCATTTAGACAAAGTAAAGGTATTTTTACCCTAGTAACGTATTGAGCACTACTTGCATCTCTATAATAATCATCAACTGTGTCATATCCAAAACTTATTCTTGTCATTCGATCATCAAATTCTCTAATTGTCTTTGACTAATAATATTATATAATTTAATAATTAATGATTATTTAATATAAAAAATAGATTATTATTATTGTGATATTCTTACCGATAGAACACTTTCTATGTGAATTCTATCATCTTGCTTCATTACATCTAAATGTCTAATATATCCTTTCTTTAAATTATCTGCCATTGCAGCCGAATAAACTCTTTCTCCCAAATAACTCCTTTCCAATGCTCTATTTCCACTAATTTATTTATTTATAAACTATCATTTATTAATAAATTTTAACATCATCATCATCATCATCATCATCATCATCATGAATATAAATTACCAAAGAAGATCAAATGGATTGGCCACAGATACTGCACCAATTAATGGCGTTTTATCACCTTCTTCACCTAAATACTAAATAGGTATCACATAAATATAAATATTATTATTGTTGTTATTATTATAAATTAACCCAATCAATTAACCAATCAACTAATTATCAACCAGTTAGTTGCATACTTTAACTAATAAATTTGCTCCCAAACTAAACCCAACCGCCATTAAAGGTGCTCCTGGGATGGATTCTTTTATATAGTTCAAAGCCACTCTCAAATCTTCTGTAGCACCAGCCGAATAAAGTTTTGGTGATGTTATAAATGATTCTGAACAACCTCGAAAATTAACTACAACTGCTCTATAATTATGTGGTGGCTTTGTAAGTTCCTCAAGTAAACATCTTATATAAGATTCATGACTCCCTAATTAATTTAAAGCTTTGTTAATCACACAATATATCATGATTAGGATTTTCCTCCTTTATTTAAATTACCTCCTGTTAATCCATGTAACATTACTAACGTTGGTGTATTGTCAAAAACCTTTTCTGATAATGGCGGTGTCCAATCAACTGCAATTTGTCCTCCATCAGGTGTAGAAACAAATTTTCTAACAACAATGATCATTTTTATTATAGATACAGTAATAATATAATAATTGATCAACTTAAATAAAAAACCAGTTTTTTTTACCTTTCATAGTCAATCAAATGTACATCATCAAAATTTGCAAAAGCTGCATAAGCAGTTTGTAAATGACCATTATAAATCCAAAATGTTGGATAATATCTTGCTTCTTCCCCTAATAATGAAGGGCACTTCTCTTTTAAATAATCATACAATTTAATACTTTGCATATCTTTATCATCATCAATGTTATCAATAATATTGTCATCTTTATTATTATTCTTATTAATTTTTAATTCAATTGTATTAGGATTACAATGAACTTTAACTGGAGAACCTATTAGTGAATATAATGAATATAACATTTTTTTTAAAAAAAAAATTTTCAACACATTTCATATGCATGCTATTTATATTGTTGTCAAATTTAAAATTTGGACGTACAACATATTCATATATTCATTCATATGAAATCAAAATTTGTAATACATAAAAATGTAAGATCATTAATCGCTTTATAGCAGGGATGGGAACGGTTCGGCTTATAAACTGCCAGTTTGGCTAGTGAACCGCACCGACCGGCTGTTTACCACCGCGGTTTGAACCGCGGTTCAAACCCAAGCTTAACCGCAGTTTTATAAAAATGAAAAATTTTTTTTTTAAAAAAACAAATTATTTGTTCCGACAATTAAGGCTATTTTAAACACCACTACCATCTATTCTCTTCATATTTGCTTGTACTTTAAATTGTTTGCATCAAATAGCTGGAGTTCCGCCTGATCTCTATATCAAGTTGTAGCACCATAATTCAATTAATTGTGATTGAAATATCTGTTAAAATCCTCCATAAGATTATAGAATTACGACCTCCTTCATAAATTATGCACTTTAGTGACTGTTTCATCATGAACTTGCAATCCATACCATACAGCAATATTGAATATGTGGGAACCACAATGGCATGACCATTATTATTATTTGTAAAAACATTCATTTCTTTTATTTCCCCTCCAAATTATTTGAAAGTCAAGCTCAAATTAGCCAATTGGAATATTGTAACCCACCCCAAAATTTAATTAATTGCTGCTGCACTGTCAGTTGTTATGCTCAATATTTTTGATGATAAATCTAATTCTTCTAAAAAGACTTTTTATTGTATGTACTATATTTACAGCATTACAAGTAAGATTCATGGAATATTATATATTATAAAAATTCATAATTTTCTTTTATGAACAATAAAAAAATAAACATAGTTAAATTATATTGTCAGATCCGATTCAAAATTTAGGACCACAGGATCGGTTAGTAAGATTTTTAAATAAACTAATATATAATTTGAATAAAACTAATAAATCAATAAAATGAATGATTTGAATAAAATTGGTAAATCCAACTCAATTAAAATATTTTTCTTTATCAATCTATTTTTCCTTCTTAGCCCTTGTATATAATGATAATAATAGTAAATAATAGTAGCTGACATCTTTCTTTTCTTTTCTTAAGTCATAGTACTAGTAACCATAGTAGATTATAAATGTAATTAATTATCTTGTTAAAAGAAATAAGACCTTATTTATAATTTTACATTTTATATTTTATAAAACGAATAAAATGATATAAAACGAACAATTGTGACCAATTTTTGAAATTTAACGTGTAACCAGCAGTTTGGAATGTGTAAACCAAACCGCATCGGTCTTGTTGAACCGGTTAAACAAAATCGTCAACTTCAAATACTAAACTAAAAAATTGATCCGAACTTGGCATTTTTGAATTCCAATTTTATACTTGAAAAGTTGAAAACCAAACATGGTGCGGAATCCTATTATAAAATTCCGGTTACACATGTATAATAATTATTATTCGATTTATTATTATTCGATTAATTATTATTCGATTTATTCGATTTGTTTGATTTATTCAATTTATTATTATTATTATTATTATTTCATTTTATTCGATTTATAAAATATAAAATATTAATAATTCACAGCTTGATGCAACAATTTCTATATTATTATAAGGGATTTTAACTATTTATAGAATTACAAATAAGGTCTTATTTCCTTTAACAAGATAATATAAATAACAATAATTATATTTATAATCTATATAACTTGAGAAAGATGTCAATTACTTTTGCTTACCATATTTATTATAATTATCACTATATACAAGGACTACAAAGGAAAATAGATTGATAAAGAAAAAATATTTTGATTGGATTGGGTTAGCAAAAAATATTCATATATTATTTTATTTGAATACAAATCTTTCAATGTAATTCGAATATTCAAATTCCAAATAAAACGAATAATTAAAATAAGCCTTATTCGAATAGGAACCCTGCTTGTTATTATTTAAGAAAATCGTTTTAGTCTGATATTTTTTGAAGATTTCTGATAAAATTTCCCAAACCGAGCATTCCCCCATATTAATATCTTTGATCACACATTTCGCATCCCCGAGACCAAGTAAATTACGTGTATATGGTGCAAATTCACCTAAAGACATCGTGTGCTGCGCTACTCACCGAAAATTTTTATAAATCTAAATTTGTAAGAGATCTGTGACTTTGTCACGTGAATAATGATACATATAGATCACATGATACTTCGGATTTTTTAATAAAAGATTTCCAATATAGTAATAGGGAATTAGAAATTGATATCCTATATAGATTTATGCGGCATCCTTTATTATGTTTATTAAAAAATGATTTACCTTTTTTTATTTTTTAAATTTATATCATGTGAATTCACTTGGTACTTTACTATTCATTGTAAGATTAATAAAATTCGTCGAAATGAAACAAAATTTGTTGAAATGAGGAATTGTAATCATCATTATCATTGTTCATGTTACAAATAAGTAAAGAGCAAAGGTCAATAATTTTGATCAGCCTTTTTAAAAAAGCTATCCATCTATCAATAAGATTTTTTTATGGATATCCAGATTGATCATCCATCCATGGATCAAATTCGTGCAACACAATTATGCACTACACAATTTATACATCAGAAATCAAAATTATGCAAAAAAATTGCAAATGCATAAATTTGATGTTTTCCACTGATCATAAATATTATTATCGATTATACATCCTTTCTTCAAATTAAGGTTAATTGCAAGAAGCAAGTTCGTATCATATATATCTATTCAATTAACAACGGTAATTCTACTTCAGTATGGTTTTTACCCAAAAAAGGAATGTTTATAATAAGAAATTTTTGTTCTAACAAAAGTTATTCGTCCATGGAAAATATTACATTCTTCTTACTTGAAATCTTGTAAATATGCCTCGCCATGAAATGAAACATGAAAGATTTAACAAATTTATTTAATGATTCAGACTTTTATGATATGAAAAACAAAGAAGAGAATATTAAAAGTCCATTCTGATATTTTAGAAGCAAAGATTTATCAATGAAATCATCATAATAATTTCCTAAATTTAGATCGAATTTTTATGGCTTAAAACCAGTTCAACTCTTGGCGATGAATTTATCACATGTAATTATACTCAAAACCTGCCATACGTTAATGTTATTAATATTAATATTGATATTATCTTTTGTGACGACTGCTTATCAATCATTCCTAAAAATGGTGTTTTATTAAAAATTGTAATATATATAGTAATTGGTGCTAGCGACTAGTACAAATTAATGATACAACCGGTTTTAACAATGGTCAACAATTACAAATTCTTGTTATCGACATTGCACCTACCAATTACAAATTCTTGTTATCAACACTGCACCTGCCAATTACAAATTCTTGTTGTCGACACTGCATTGCCAAATGAAGATGAGTGTAACACCTCGTGTGGTCGTCTTCTTATTTAGTCATTTTGTTATCATTAACTGATGTATTTAATTGTTTTGGTGATAGGTTATTTTCATTTTACAATTTTTTTATTTTTTTATTTTTTTGAAAAAATGGACTTAACAATATTAGAAAAATATTTTCATGAAAATAAAAGATTATTAAATACAGAAGATTTTTATGATGTAAAAATATATGTGGGTGTAGAACCAAATATTAAAGAAATTCATGCTCACGCATCTATAATATGTGCTCATTGTCCATTTTTTAGCGCTATATTAAGTAATGCAACAAAAGAAAATGGCTATTACATTGTTGAAAAAGTTAATATTAATGAGCAACTTTTCAAAAGTATTCTAAAGTAAGCTAAAAACAAAAACTATAGTCAAACCTTGTCACAACGGATAAAAAAGTGTATTTGAAATCCGTTATGCCAAAATTACTAGTTTCGTCATAGCGGATTTTATATGCGAAGTAAAAAATTTAATAAAAATCCGTTACAACACGAATTTAATCATAATCCGTTGTGGCAAGGTTTTGACTAATCTACTAATTAATATTAATTGTTAATTAATAACATATTAATTTATTATTATTATCTACCTTTATATAAAAGATTTTTGTACACATGTAAAATCGAATTAGATAATTTTACTGGAGTTGATGTATTAGAAATATTGGTTGCAGCTGACGAACTTGGCATTGAGTCACTTTATAAATACACAATGAACTATTTTGTTAATAAACATGAAGATTATATAAAAACAAACCCAGTTGAAATTTTACAATTAATTTATTCTGACAAAAAATTCAAAGAATTGAAAAATATCTATTTGAAAAAATTTTGCAATTATAGCGAAAAATTATTTCAGTCGAGCAAATTTGAGTCATTGGAAAAATCAATCCTATTGGAAATTCTCAAAAGAGATGATTTTTCTGTTAACGAGATAGTTGTTTGGGAAAATATTCTTAAATGGGGATTATCAAGACATCCAGAAATCGATAATAATGATCCTAAAGGTTGGTTATTACAAAATTTTGTTAGTTTGGGTAACACGTTAAAAGAGCTTATTTCTCTGGTGAGATTCCAGGATATTTCTAAAGAGGACTTTTTTGATAAAGTTGTACCCTATCAAAAGCTTTTTACCAAGTTTTTCTGGAACAACCTATTACAATATTATTTAATTCCTTATAGACAACAAGCATTAACCTTATTACCATCAAGAAATCCAAAATTTGAATTAAGAACTGAATCAAGGAATTCAAAGCTTGAATCAATGACAATTAATGAAAAGCTTACTTTGCTTTTTGCAAGTTGGATAGATAGAAAAAGCTCGCCATATAATTCACACAAAGAAGTTAAATATGAATTTAAGCTTTTACATCGCAGTAGCAAAGATGGCTTAAACAATATTACATTTCACCAAAAATATGATAATATCAACAAAACCCTTGTAATTGGTAAAATACAAAATTCAGATCAAATAATTGGCGGCTATAATCCACTCGACTGGGGTGGACATGGCTATAAAGCAACAACTGAAAGTTTTATATTTAACATAACTGATAGAAATGATGTTGGTACTGCTCAATTTAGTTATGTTAATAATGATTATCATCAGAATGCAATTCATTGTGGCCCTTCTTATTTACCTACCTTTGGCAGTGGCCATGATATTCGATTTTTCATAAATGGTAGGATTTCTAGTACTCCTTGTACTTATAATAACATTAACATCGTATTAAATAATAATAGTAGATTTAATGAATTAGAAGTTTTTCAAATAATTGATAAAAATTAATTCAATAAATAAAGTCATGCTCATTATCCAAGTTGCATTATCCATTTTTTAGAAATGCGATAAAAAAAAAGGATATTGTATATATATTCTTATGAAATTATTATTGATTTTTAATTTAAATACACATGTAAAAATGATTTTGTAAAATTCAGCGGTTGTCGCAACAATTTGACGATTGGGGTTTTTTATAGCTTGTAAATTCTTTAGCATTTGTATAATGCCTTTTTTTCCTAAATAGTAATAATAAAATAATTTCTTTTCTATTTGTTATTAATAATTGCTTTAATTCGTGTTTTTGTTATTGACTAGATATTAATTATCACCGACATAATTATTATAATAAATAATCAACAAAAATAGTAAGTGGGTTTAAAGCTTTTTTAGAACAATATTTATTATTGATTGTAACATTCATATCGGCAGATTTGGTTTTGGGCCATAAAAAGTCTTTGGAATTATCAAAGCCACCCCAGATTTAGTTATACTTTTTCACGACTAACCAATGGAAAACACATTCCTAAATTTGGTTAAAACCGAAGATATGTTATCAAAACCGCCAATATGATGTAGTTTACACAGATTAACCTTAATTATTTATGCAAGCAAATATTCTTTTTTATCAAGTAATGGCTTATTATTATGTTGTAATATTTACATAGAATAACAATAATAATAACTTACATAGTAACAATAGTAATAGTACAGCACACCAGGGGGTTAGCATTTTCTACGTGTGTGCAATTAACGAACAAGAATTTTTTTATCCTTCACATTCTCCTTCTTCAATACAACAGATTTTAGATGTTTTCAATTTTTTTTTTTTCAAAATAAAAGAATTAGGATTTTTTTTTTCAATACTAGGCTTTTGCCACGTGTCTGATGATAATTCCACAAACTTGAATCAAATGTATTATTTTCGCAGTTGTATATTTAAAAATTCCACAGGAGGTTCCCGAGCCATGAAAACCTTGCAAATTCCTAAATAAGTTTTGCGCTTGTTTATGTATTATTATTATATCACTAATACTAGTAATTCTAGCCATCCGACTTTTAATTTAAAATAGGAATCAGTAATGATCATATTACGTTATTAATATTGACACAAAAATCTTCGTTCATTATGCAATTGTTTACGAAAACAACAACTGGAAAAAGTCATTACTTTGGAGGTATCATAGGATGGTATTATTGAGAAAGAAGATTTTCTCCTGATAAACTGCGTATACAATCGTATGGTAAATAAAAAAAAGTCCACGGTGCGTCTTGTACTTGAATTGCATGGAGGAATGTTTCAAGAAATCAACGGGCGTGTGGATTCGATGTATTTCCATTACTTACACAATGTCTGCAAGAAGGCATTGCTTGTAACTGTTGTGGTGAGTAAGCGGAAGAAGAATGGAGAAAGATAAATGTATAATTCTCGGATTCATCATATCAAATATTTCTTCAAAAGATCTCTGTCTCTATTAATCTTTCCCAATGCCTCCAACAACGAAGATAGGGACATTGCGATTGTTACTTGAGGAAGAAAGACAAAGGTTTTTTCACTAATGTTGGAAGTGACCACACATCTGACAAGGGCCGGTTATATCACAGAACAAATGCAACCTGAGAGTTTGGTTATTCAAATTGCACCACAAACTTTATCATTCAAAAAATTTTATGTTACTATTAATCTTTTCCCATTTTTATTTTCTGCATTTCATGACACTCAAAGAAGGAATGTTAGCATTCTATTGTCTACTGGTTTCCACATATATCAATTAATTCATCAAACTTAATTCAATTGCATTCACTTTATAAACCAAGTCGACTACTTTTTGTTCTTCTTGTGGATCATATACTTGTCCTTTATATATATATCGATACATACATTTACGAGGAATATCAAAATAAATGTAGAATTCAAATTCGTGAAACGTATTCCATTGATGTTTGGCCTATTAGTAATGTTGCAGATGTCAAAGAACATCGTACTTTAGAAGGACGATTAACAATTGCGCGTGAAATTGTTAGAGCTACCGATTTGAAGATTCTTGTGTTATGGCAGACACAAGGGATAATATTTTTTGAAGTTATATTCGCCTTGACCATTCCGATTTTTATCATAGCGTGAAATTTGTTTGGATGCCAAAGGAGGCATGTTATGATGCAATGTACTTGATTAATTGCTTGGGCATTCTTCTTGATGATTGATAAATATCCAGGTTATTTCTGCAAAAATTAAATATATTATTAATACACGTGCAAATATTATATGGCGGATGAATCACTAAAAAGAACATTTTTTCAATTCCTCAATTTATTTATTATATACAAGAAAAAAATTTTTATTTTTAAAAAAAAAAAAATTGTTTCTAATTTTTTAATCATCCATTATTCATTGAAGGATGTGTGTGTATATATATATATATATATATATATTAATATTTATATAGATTGACCAAAGGAGGGAGGAGATTTGTTGAATTATATATAAAAACTATTACAATTATTTATTTTTTCGCACACGCACACAAATTAATAGCTTTGTTATGATCATATGTTATATTATATTTCCAGCAATAAAAAAAAATAATTAAAAAAAATTTACAAATTTGCTACGTTTGATAATTAGCAAAATAAAAAAAAAAGCAAATTTACAAATAGACAAATAAAGAAACATGTTATATTTCCATTAACCAAGCTCTCATAAAAGTTGTCCTCAAAATTCATTATTTGACTGTCCACCAACTTTAACACCACGATTAAACATTACCACGCCAGTTAACATTTTACTCAAATTGGTTTTTGTAGATTTAGTAACTTTTTTCTTTGGAGTTTTCTCAAAATATTTTGATGGTGGTGGTGAACGAGTTCCTGTTCTTTTATTATTATCGTTATTGTCACGAGAAGGAGTTATTGTAGACTCTGCTTTGGAAGCTGTTGTAATTGAAAAGGTTACTCTGGAAGAAGCGAAAGAACTATTTTTAACATCGTTCTTATTATTGTTGCTAATAATGTCCTTTGGTGTACTTAAAACAACTGGATCAGTTGATGATGATTTAGTAGTAGTTGTAGTTGTTTCATTTGATTGATATGGATGATAATAAGCAGTTGTTGTGGTCGGAAATGAAGTCCGATGAGAATTTTTAATTGATTGTGAACTTTTTGTTTTACGTGGTGAATGATGTAAAGAAGGCGCAGATCTCTTACTAATTACATTTTTTGACTTGTTGATAGAAAGTGAACTATTATAGTTGTTATCATTATTATAATCTTGACCAAAATAATGATTATTATAAATTTTGTTGCTGTTGTAGTTGTTGTAATGATTATATGATCGCTTGGTAGGCGTAGTAGGATGCTCGACTTGATTATAACGATTATTAAATGAATCCCATGGTGAAGGTGATGTTGATTCATTACTAAAATTATTATTATTGGTCAAAGATCCGCGACGTCTATTAGCACCCCATACAGAAAGTTGTTGTTCCTGTTTTTCTTTACGACGTTTTTCAACACGTTCACGGCGTTGATTAGATGAAGACCAATGATCATTAAATGTTGTAGTTGTTGGTGATGACGGTGATGTGTCATCACGTTGATGATAATCATTACAGTCTACACGAGGAGTTCTTAATGGCTCATCCCAAGGTTTAGCTTTACAATAAATAATTTTTGGTGGTGTAACAGATAAAAGAACTTTACTGTTACTATTTCTATTGTTATTGGTAGTATTACCAATATTTGTAGCAATGGCGCTAGTTTTTGTAGTCGTTGATAAATTTTCTTCTTGTTGTGTATGATTATTGTTGATTGTTTGTAATCGTTTAATAATATTACTATTGGTATCTTCATCTGTACCAAATCCAGAATCAGCGTCACTGTTATTAGCAGCAATTGAATCATCATAATCTAGATTTTCGTTATCATTAACAACAATAGTCAATGACGGTGGTTTAGCGTTAGCATTAGTGATAATAATTGGTTGCTGTTCAATCGGTGAATAATCATCATCATTATTAATTTCCTTGAATGGTGATGATGGTGACGTGATTGATTTACGGTCATCATTATTATTAATTTCAACTTTATTATCATTGTCATCGTCTTTGATGCTTAATTCTTTGACAAATGCCCCTAAAATATCTGACCAAGAATCATGGCGTGCGACATGATCATCGTCACCATCATAATTATCGTCATAATCAATATTATATTTGTTATTGTCCTCCTTGTTGCTGCTGCGACTGCTGCTATTAAGACTCGATGGTTTATAGGATTCGTCTTTAGTACTGTCAATAGCCGTATTCATTTTTTCATTTAAATCTTCACACCAAAGTTTCCATTGATCAATTTCAATCCGACCTTTTTCAGGGCTATTGAATACATAATTTGCCAAAAAGTATGCAACTTTTTTTGGTATTCTCGGAAATTTTCGCATCAAAAATCCAACCTTGTCGGTTCGAAATGAGGCAAATGATTTGCATTGGTCCGGATTTGGATCACTCCATGGTGAACGATGATAGACCAAGTTAAGAAAAATTATACCTAATGACCAAATATCTGCGAGTCGTGTATTATATGTTTCATCTATGGGATTACGACATTCTATAATTATTTATTTATAGAAGAAAAAAATAAACACCATTTTTAAATATTAGATAATACAATACAAATGAATAAATGAGTGAATGAATGAGTGAATGAGTGAATGAGTGAATGAGTGAATATAACTAACCATAACTCATGTAAGGTTTAGAGCCACAATCAAAATCAATTGATTCAACTTCATCAGTAGCCAAACCAAAATCGGTCAATTTTATTTGTATTTCAAATCCATATCCGTTATTATCACCATGACCGCTTTTGTTCTTATTTTTTTTATTGTTCTTATTAACCATGACAATAAAATTTTCAGGTTTGAGATCACGATGAGCAATACCTTTACTATGACAATAGCCTACAGCTTCCAAGATTTGCATAAAGACATGCTCTACGAGATTTATTCTTTCGTGTTCTGATAAACGTTTACCAGTTCTTGTATCTATGGCATCGTTATTTTGAGTCAACCAATAATATAAATCTTGGCCTTCACAATACTCGAGCACTAGAAAGAGCCATTCCGATGTTTCAAAATAATGTTCCAATTTCACTATATTAGGATGTGAAAGTTTTTCATGAAGAAGCACCTAACAATAAAAATTAATCGATAGTTAGTAATTGAATTAATAAATAAAATGAATTAATAATGACTATAATTGTTTTTATCGCTAAAAAAAACGAATTAATATATATTTACCTCATTGCGTTGAACTTCCAAATGATCATCGTTTAGTTCAGCTTTAGATAAACATTTTAAAGCGTAAAATTTATTTGTAGATTTTTCGCGAACCATATAAACAACAGCGTATGAACCGTTGCCAAGTGGCCGAATCAATTGATACTCCAAGCCATCCTTACTATTTACAATTGTTGAACCGATTTTAAATGGTAAAATGATCGGCGATGTTAAGGGTCCAGGTATTAATGGTTGTTGATATTTAGAGATTGGTTCGTCGATCATTGGTGTAGCAGGTCTGGTTGGGGTGGATGAAGATCTTTTAAAACCCATGTTTTGTATTATTGATAAATTAATTATATAACTTTGCTTTTTTTTTTTTTTGTTTTAGAAGAAATAAATTTTGTTTTTTTTTTTTTGATTAATAAAATCAAGAACCCGCTTGAGATTTTTTTTAAATAATTTTTGGTAATAATAACCAAAGATTAAAGAGAAAATAAAAAGTTGGTAAAGTGTGAAAAAGAAAGAAAACGCGGGATTGATAAAATTTGTTGGGGTGAAAATTACAAATTGTGGTATTTTTGATGTTTTTGTTGATAAGTTAATGAAAGTTATTATATATAATTGTTTTGAATAATTATTGATATAGATCGAGAATGTTGTTGATGATGTTAATGGGGTTTTTTTTATTTGATGATGTTGAATGAAGAGTTTGCTATTTTGTTGTCGTTGAATCGCTGATCAACCAATAAACAAGTACTCAAATAATAGTGGTGATGGTGGTGGTGATGATTAACGCGGTGAAGTTGATTGAATGAAAATATGGACATCTTTTTGAAAAGAAGAAAAAATAAAAAGTGGTAATTTTTTTTAAAAAATTTAATACTCCATACTGACACTATTTGTCAGTAAATTAAATAATATTGAAGGGTGTTTATATATATAATAATTAAAATAATTAATTAAAATAAAAAGGGGAAAATAAAAAAGGAAATAGAAATTATGTATATTAACTATATTACAAATTTAGAAAATAATAATAGTGAGAGTGAAGGGAAGAAGGATGTACAAAATAATGTGGCGATGATTGGTAAATATATATTTATAAAACTTGAAATACTATTTAATTAAGGTTTAAGGTTTAAGAATTTTTTTTTGTTGTATAGAAAGGAGTGAAGATACTTGCATATATAGCAAGATTAAGAATGTAGTGAGGTAAAGAAGAATGGGAAAGAAGACGTAACACGCACTCCTCTTGTTGAACTGACTGACTATACAAACAACTTAATGATTAAATGAATATAAAAATATAATATTATAAAGTAGATAAGATTTAGTACATTACAAGAAAATCAATAAATGGTTTTATTATTAAAGAAACTAAACCAGTTGAGAAATTAAAAAGATATACCAGGCTAAATTATCAACGAGTAATCTGAAGAAAGAATGATGATGTGAGATGCCTGTTAAAAGCAACAATTATTGCTCCTAATAAAAAGAAATGTTGTACGGCCCCGCAAACCTTTTGAGATTTCTCGTACACGAAAAATACTTTCAACCAAAGGAATGAAGGGACGCTTTGTATATATTGTTTTCTTTGGTTGGATCGTTTATTTATTATATATTTTTTCTTTCTTTCTCAGTTGCTCCTATATCGTATGTTTTTTTTTTGACCAGGTGAATTCTTCTTTCGTCTGGCAAGAAGGCACTATAAAATATTAATTATATTTTTTGATTTGTGATTTTTGAAGATTTTCTTTTTTTTTAAAAAAAAAAAAAGGAAAATTGATTAGAATTCGTTTTATACTTATATGTATATAATGATATAAGATATGTAATAAACTTTTATAAACTTTCGGTCTTTAAACTTCTTAATTATATTGATAAATCAATGATAAATAACAAATATAACACCATATAATATATAATACATAAAATAATAATAGCAACAATAATAAATTTTTGATGCATCAACCTGCTGTTGAGATATCATCAAATACACACATTCATAATCACGCCATAATTATTAATAATAAGTATTTTTAAATTTTTAAATTTTTTATTGTAATAAAAATCAGTTTTTCTCGAAAGAAATTCAAATAAAAATAATAACTTGAAAAAAAATAGAGATATAATAACAATATATTATTTATTATAATAAAAATGAAAATAACAAGTACCAATAAAGAATCCGATATATTAACAGACGCGAGCTTTTTTGTCCTAGAAGCCTTTTCGTTGAAGAGCTTGAAAATTTAAATTTACCGGCTGGCAATTTAAAGTAAGGTGATGGTGAGTTTGGTGAGGTGAGGTAAGGTGGTGAGAATATGTGAGTAGTGTTGAATAATTGAGAATATGAAATGAGAATGATTAGGTGCGAGATGTGAGAAATATTTAGGAGTAAAAAGAAACGAAGCACAAAAACAACAATGTATATATATCTAGGAGACTGTTATATAATAAGTTGTTTTAATATATTATTATTATTTTGTAAGTAGTTGAAGAAAGTCTTTATAATAAATAATATTAATGATGTTTGTTTATTTTTACTTTTCAAAATATTTTTAAAAATATTTATTAAAGGATTTTGGTCCTCAAAAATCAAAAATCAAAGATAAAAATTTGATTGGAGAGAAACCAAACTGAATCATAAAAAACTATCACTGTTCTATTTATTACAATTTTATTCATAACCTGTGACTAATTAAGTGAAGTGACAACACTTAATAAAGTGCGTGCTACACCAATCAATCTCGTACAAAATAAATTATTTGGGGAGTTTTTCATAATCAACGTAATATATGACAACAATAATAAATATTATAGGAATTTGGTAATAAACGGTATGTGTGTTTTTTTGTGTGTAAAAGCCAAATGACTAATGACTAATTAATTCAAACCAGTAATTAATATTAATAATATGTACATTATGTTATTCACTATTATTACACACACATATAACAAATAAAGAAGAGAAATATTGTAATTTTTAAAGTTCCACGCGTCATGTATTACGTACCGAAATAATTCAACATGTTCAATTATTTAAGTCATCTAATTTAGAATATAAAGATTGTAAACAAAGATGAGTCAATCACTATTTTTTTAATATATAATTAATTAATTTAGAATTATTCATTGTATAATGTATATTAATATATATGTAAATGTGTATATATATATATGTATATATATATATGTACAAATATATATAAATAAATAAAAAATAGCAACAAAGAATTTTGAAGATCATATTTAATTAATTTTAATTAACTATATAAATATCGGAAAGAAAAGTGTCGCGAAGGAAGCTTGCTATAAGAGCTCAAGAATAACATCGCGAAGACAAGAAGATGAATAATTAATTAATTAATTAGCATCATTATATCAATCAATTACCAACGAATTTATCAATTAATTTATCAATCAATCAGTTTAATGAATATTAATTTATCAATCAATAATTTCTTAATAATACAAATTAAAAAGATTTAAGCAAAGATCTGTGAGGAAATTTTAATAAGTTTATAAAAGAAAAGATAAATATGTTAGAAAAGAAAATCATTAATAATAGTAAAAAGGCTATATTACAATACATTTTGGTTTTTTTGACACGATAGCGTGATTTGTACTAGTCACGCGTAACTTTAAAATTACACATTCTTTAATTTTTTTTTTCCCCAACTTTTTTGTATTTTCTTTCAAGCACGTACACAACACTAACATTTTATGTACGAATAATTATAGATTCATACATTTTAATTTTATTATGGGACCGCCAAATATCATTTGATTTAGGGGGTGTAGGGAGTCTCTGAAACGTGTAATGTCATGTGACTTTAATAATACGTTTTACAAATAATTACAAAATCAAATTAGTGATGGTTCTTTTCTTAAAGTACTCACTTGATAATGTAAAGTAAAGGAATAATTGGCATTGGTTTATTTGTTGTGGTCACAGAAAAGAAAATTCGCACATAATTAATTACTGCCGTTGCTACTTTGTGAAGATGGTTCTTTTTAATATTTAAATTGGTTACATATGTAGTTCCACCCTTAAATATAGATTTTTGGGGTTCTCACACGAAAAATTCATTCCTCTTTCTTTTTACTAAATAAAATAATGCTTAACAAGAAAAACATTGTCCCAATCGTTTCGTGACACCTTTACATGCGAGATACTTTAATTAACAGTATGGTTATTGTTATTATTGTTAAAATATTTTTTGATAAACTAAAAGGCTACAGCCTCTTATCTTATATACGAAAATCAAGAAATTTCAAAACAAAAGGCTATACTTGATAGTTTGTATAACCGTCGAGCAGAAGAGGAATCTTCGATATACTCAGGATTGTTATTGATCATCAGTTTATTTGTTTACTTCATAATAAAAAAGTCGAATTCTTGAGTTTTGAACATTTTATTGTTTATGATAAAAAAAATTATGTCTATATCTATCTTATATCTGTTGCTGTTAGAAAGTAATTGGCGAGAAAATAAAAAATTGATTGTGATGTTTCTTTATATAAATCAGTAAAGGTGATAAATAATAAATAATAACTGATTGAATTTTCACTCAACAAATCTTTTGATAAGATTTTTTATTTAATTTTTAATGGTTTAAAGAAATATCCACCGTGCCAAAGACTTCAAATATATTGACCGAATATCATTTCCCTTGAAAACAAGGGCTGAAGGCTATTTCGCCACTTATTTAAAGGAAAAGAACCTTTTTGAAACAATTTTGGATGATAATAATTCTCAATCGTTGCAAGATATTTTCCTATTCACTCGTATTTATCTCAATTATCGCCATAGCTGAAACTTGGATCTAAATAAAACAAAATTCAATATTAACGGCAGTTAATCGCGCTAAAATTCTAGCGCGCCCTGCGTTTTATTGCTGAGGCTCGAAAATTTATTGATAATTATAAAAAATATGATATGAACATGTTATTGGAAAATGGTTATGATGATTGTCAAACCAGAGAATTGAATCTTCTCTTTATTGGATTATAATTCAAACCTTTCATCAAGACAATTGGATCCTATCATTATAGAGAGTAATGATAGTTATGGTAAACCGCCCGCCTTTAACTTACATATATAGTGTTTCTGATTGTCGATTGTGTCAGAATACAAATAAGATTATGGATTTTTTAATTTCAATGAGAATGAAGGTTCCTGGACTGAAAAGCCTTTTTTTTTTTTTAAGAAAAATAATATCACTTTCACCACATTTGTCATCGGGAGCCTTTTGCAATTTATGCCTATTACTAAAAATGATTACGAGCCAATTGCAAAAGATAAAATCTGCATGCATTGGTTACAAACGACGAGGTTTGCAAAAACTATTTTTCTTTCAATTTTTATAATTTTTGTTTAAATTAAAAAAGTAAAAATTATAATAGAAACTTTTGATGAAATTGTGAAACAAATATCTTGTGCTATAAAGGTAAATATGCACACATATATTTGTGTATTTGTTGTTGTAACCTGAAATTTTAAAAAGTTATTAAAATTGAAACAAATATAGAAAATTCAACATTTTTTTGCCGAATTTACTGCACGGCATCTTATTATTTAATTCAAGAAATGGTTTCGCATTTCATTTGATTACCTTTATGAATCTGGCGTGATTGAAAAAAGAATGCGTGTGACCACTTGCTTGAACATTGTTGATAATTTGGTTGAAAAGACTGGACATACAATTATTGTTATTATGGCATAGTTTAATAATTAGAATGATGGTGGTTTTTAATTAGGCTTAAATAATTGGCAGTACGTGTCACTAATATATAATCTTATCAGTCAATCAACTTTATACAATCGTACGTACCTCTCCATATAAAAACATCATATAAAAACATCTCTACAAGAGCATATATGTCGGGAACCAATTACTATTAATCTTATTATTACAGAAAATACCTCTCTATCTATGAACAACCTCTCCCTCTGTAAGAACATTTTTTAGAAAAGTTACTATGTTCCCGACAGAATCCTTATATGGATGTATATGTCATTTTTAAAATAAAAAAATAATTCGCAAAATTGATATGCAATAGTATGCCTATTTTGATTTTGTACTAAAATAGTGGGAGATCAAATTTAAATTTTTTATTATTTGTTTTCTCAAAAATTTTGAAGATGTCTGAAGAAGAGGTAAAACGATTACTCAAATTGGTGGAGGAGTCATTGAACGAAACTTCTATAACCATCAAACTAACAAAAAAAAGGATAACTGAAATCCCTATCGAAGTTATAAATTATGCAATTAACTATAATGTTGACAGGTAGAAATTAATAATAATGATAACTGACTGATAAAATGTTTAGATTAAAATTTTGGATATGATTAATTGATTATTAAAAAAAGTTAAAAAAATTCTTAGGTTGTCAATCGAAATCAATCAATTGTCAAAACTTCCAAAAGAAATGTCTAATTTCACACATTTAAGATATCTTAATCTTTCTCAAAATGCTTTTATAGAATTTCCAGAAGCAGTAATTATTTTAATTGTTTGCAAATACTTCAAGCAATATTATTATTATTCGAACATATTTACCAATATAAAGTTTTTTTTTTAAAAAAAAAGCTTTGTTCAATGCCAAGTTTAAAAATTTTGGATATTAGTAAAAATAAAATTTGTAAATTACCTCAAGATTTTGGAAAATTGATGACATTACAGGTAATAAAAATATGATAATCAATAGTAAAATTATATAAAAAGATTGAAATTTGATATGATTTTTGTTTTAATAGTTACTGAAAATTTCAAAAAATCAAATAAAAAGATTACCAAAATATATTGCTGATATGAAGGATTTGCAATATTTAAAAATTGATTTCAATCCAATTAAATTTCCACCAAAAAGTATTCATGTGATTCCAAAAGGTGAAGATAAAGATGTCATGTTACCTTGGTTAGAAAATCTAAAGGAATACCTTAGACAAAATTCAGGTATGTTTATTTAATAATTTTTTTAAACAAAAAATTTACAACTTTAATTATTCAATTTTTAATGTTTACTTTATTTAGATGAGTCGGATGAGATCAAAAATAGCAGGTTGGTCTTATATATAAATTTTCTGTTAATAGAAAGCTTCTAAATGTTCAATATTATATATAATATAAATAATCATAAAACATATTATCATTATTACTTTAGTAGTGATGAAGAAGTGGATTGTCAGTTTGATTCACAAAATAATAATAAACAATTAAAAAAAGCAACTTCAGTTGATACCATTAATTACCTATCATCTAATGTTAACACAAGACAAATAGTTGATATTGGTGGTGGATCCTCATCATCTTTAAAAACAATCAAAGAAAGTGATCAGCCCATCACAAAACAAGAGAAAAGACGTCTTAATCCAAAATTAAGTTTGGATTTGCCATTTGCTCATCGTAACCGAAGTCATAGCAATGATTTTGATGCAACATTAGCAATTTTTAGAAGTAAATTCGTTCATAAACATTCAAAAAGTGCATCTTCAGATTCAATAAGTTCAACACAAAGCCAAAGTGGCATTGCTGAAGAGAAACAAAGTGATTATTATTTCCAAAAACTTAGGGCACTTCTTCCAGCAGAAAATCTTCCAATGAGTGACATCTCACTAAGAGAAGCTAGTCGAAATATTTTGTATGCATTTTCACAAGTACATAAAGCAATTCGTCAGTTTGCAATTGTTACTGGGAGTGAAAAAATATTTATGAATGATCTTAACAAAGCAGCAAAACTGATTGGACAGTTGAGTACAGCATTACAAATATATGATGACTTTGCATTACAGACACCTGATGCAGATCATTGTATTAAATTGCTTACTACATGTCAAGAGAATATATCTAGTTTTAAGTTATTAATGGAACTTTTGAATAAACAACTCAAATCACTTACACAATCTCCTGAAAATATGAGATATTCTCGTACACTTCTATTGATGCTTCATGGAGCAGTTGCAGATATCAAATTTGCATGGGAATTGATATTTCCATTATTAAATGCTCAGACGCCTTACACTGGAATGTCTACCCCCTTTAGATCAAAATCTATGACAAGATCAAATAGTAGTAATATTGCTAATGTTGCACCATATTCAGCAAGTGCAGCTTCATCATATTTTTCATCATCATCTTATAGTTTAAATACACCTACAAGTGCGGGATCAGGGCCACATTCAGCAGGACTGCATAATAACTTAAACACGGACTTTTTATTTTCAATAGCTATATTTAATCAACTTCTTTCACAAGTGGAAGTTGCAATTAAAGCTGTAGAAAATGTTATAAAATGTTTATCAGATAATGTGGAGGATGTTTTAGAACCTACTAATGAAGATCAGATGAAATCCTCATCATCTATTAAGGATAAAATGAATGAATTGGTTAAAGATGCAAATGAAGTCACCATACTCTTAAAAAAATCTTTATTATCAGCAAAATCATCCACCAATAATAAAGATGATCCATCCATACAACTTAAAGTTTATGATGATACACTGGTTTTTCTTCAGGTAAATGATAATTTTTATTTTTTGGTGTGTTTTAGAATAAATACATCATTAAAATAAAAATAAAATTTTTTTTTTAGACAACAATTAAATTATGTGAATTTGCAAAGGAAGTCTCACACAAATGGCAATTGAACAGTAAAGTTAAATCAGGGTTAAGTCATGTGATGAAATCTTATACTGAATTAACAGGTTTATTAAATAAAAATCAAGTATTGTTGGATAGTTCTTAATAATTTTGATTATTATTGCTCTTATTTATTATTTATTTAATTTAATTTAATTTAATTTAATTTAATTCTAAAAAGCTTTTATAAAAATTAGTTTCTTAAAAAATAGAATTTAAGATATATCTATCTTATTTAACTGTAAAGGAATGTTTAATTCAATTTAATCTCTTGGCACGTAATTTCTACACGAAATAGGTGTTACCCAAAAAAATTTAATTTTATCCCATTATAGGTTGAAAAATTAAAAAAAATTCTTTTCTAAATGTTTAAATATAAAAATAAATTTATAATAAAACGTAAATTTCGTTTTTTATCAACCTACCTTTATCGAAGGTGGCCCTTATCAATTTTTATTATTTTATTTTCTTTTATATTTTACATATTAATCTCGATAACTTTTTTAAATTATCCTTCAACAACAACGTCAACATTCCACGTGGAAACTTCCGTAAATATTACTCAAAGTAAAGTTCAAATATGTAACGGGAATGACGTTTGTTCCTTATGGGAACCTGGGTATTGGAGAAATAGCGATTTGCAAAGAGAACATATTTTTCATAATGTAAAAAGTGTAAACGTTCCTTTGGGTATGATTGTAGTTTTAATAACTCACTCGGACAAACGATTAATAATGCCATATGGTTTTTCTGAATGTAAAGAACGAGATATTTGTTCATTTGTGGCTCGTTTAGATATTTCAGGTAAAAAAAATTGCAAGCTTGATTTGATAATTTTTTTAAAAAAAAGTCAGAAATATTAATATTTTTTTTTTCTTAGCTAATCTTAGACTTGCTTTAGATCAAATTTCTAAATATAGTAAGCAAATTAATTTTTTATTGCTCCTTCAAAGATAATATATATACCTAATAATAACTCCTCTTTATTGATATAAAGTTGAAAATAATTCAACAAATGAAATAATTCATTTTCATAAAGCAAAATCACATTTTCCAAAGAATGTTATCACACTAGTATCACAATTTTCGGCAAATCGACTAACACGATTCGAACAAGCAATATCGGTTTGGCCCGGTCCAATCTCTGTCGTATTGTAAGTTTGATCTATCCTCTTAAATGTATTGATTTTATTATTATTATGAATTTTGTTATTAACTTCAATAATAATTCTCATTCATAAAAAAGATATCTGTTAGATCCCGAAGATGTAAACCAATTAGTTAAATATTTTGAAATGGACAAAAATTTATATCTTTATAATAGAATTAGCATGACCATAATCAAACCAAATTATTTATCAGACAATTATTTAAAATATCCGATTAATAAATTACGGAATATTGGCATTAAAACTGCACCATCAAACTACATATTTGTAATGGATGCTGATTTTGTTCCAACAAGAAATTTATATCATTTCTCAATGGAAAATCTAATTCCAATACTAGAATCACCACCTAACAATAATAACGACAATAACAACAATAGATATTATCAAAAACCAACAGCATTTGTAGTACCATGTGTTGCGATACATGAAAATTATTTTGGTAAATTTCCAAATACAATATCAGAATTGAGAGATTTATATAATAAAGGTATAGCTTACATAACTGATCCTTTTGCTGGCCACGGTCCAACTGGTACACAAATTCTATTATCACATCAATTATACAATTCAAACCCTTTCTATGAAATATGTTATGAATCACAATGGGAACCTTACTACATTATATCAAAATCATCGCCATACTATGATGAACGATTTGAGAATCAAGGCGGTGACAAACAACAACATGCATTATCATTGAACGCATTAGGTTACAGATTTTTGGTTTTGAAAGATCATTTTATTTATCATATGGATCATAGGAAATTGGTTTGGGCTGATGGTGGCCTAGAGAAAAATCAGAAACTTCTAAAAGATTTCACTTATTTTGATCATTATATACCAGAGATGCAGCGTATTTTTGGTAATAATGTTAGATGGCCAAGAGGTTGCTCTCATCCTTTTGTAAAAGAACAATTTAGAGATTTAATGGGAATTGGATTAAATTAATATAACTGGAAACTATATTTAAGCAATAATTGTTTTAATTTTATAAATAGAAGAAATAATTAATATAGATTTTTTTTAGAATAATAAAGGGCTAATATTTTAGATTTATCAAATATATGGAGCATACTGCAATAAAACCAAAGTGAACATTATGTCACGAGGAAATTTCGGGGATCAAAACTTGGTGTAATTGGGTGATAATTTCTAAAAAGGATTTATTATGTTTATCACTTCATAATTTCCCTATCACTATTTTTTTTTCTTTGCTGACTATAAAGGGAAATGTATCAGTCCACCCCTCTATGAAATGTAATTAATGATTGTCATATAATTTTTGATCATCCATACATTCAAGGCATATTTTATGTGATTTAAATAAATCTTTGTCTGATTGGCATCAAAACAAGGCAAATAATCTCACCTTGTGTTCACAATTCATTTTTGTTTAAAAAACAAGTGATACAATGGTTTGTTTTAATCAACAATGATTAAGAAAAAATTCTTACTTTCAATAGTGAGTTTTTTTGTGAGTTGTGAGTTGGACTCCTTTTTGGTTTCATGCTTCACTATAAAGCTCACAAAAATCAATTCTATATTATAAATCAAAAAATCAATGAAACAATCAGTAAAATAGAGCCAATTCGAAAATAAATTAAATAGCTTATTAATGATAAAAAATATTCACAAGGGAACAAAAATCTATTGAAGGATTTCAAGAAATTGTTTAATAAAAAGATCTTGAACTTTGGAACAAATAAAATAATAAGATTGTAAATTTTGATTATTTTAGCAAGGAATTGTTTAACAGTAGTTTTGAGAGCAAAGCATAAATATACATTTGCGGAAATTGTTACGATTTAGTATAATAGATTGGAAGAAATTGTATTATTGTATTAGTATTGACTTTAAATAAATTGTTATCATAGTGAAACTCGTACACTATACATGTGATAGAATAAGTTGACCACTTGACTCAATCAGAAGACTTTTTGGCGTAATTAATTGAGTCGTATGAAAACGATTAAAAATTGAAATTTTGGGAATTAGGTCAAGTCAAATTAATTTTGACAACATGTATAATAAGGACTATCTAGTAAGTAAGTAACTAGGGTGCATGCTCACAATATTTTCAAATTTCATCCTAATGAGAAATGATGCCGGAAAAAGGATGCCAAAAAAATGTTGACAAATTGATCAAAGAATGCAGTCCAAATAGATTTTAGAAAAAAAAGCAAGGATAGTGTTTCTTACTAATTTTATTTATGCGATAAGCTTTATGTAATTGTTGAAATATGCAAAAAAAATTTTTTAAAATGCACTGTATATCTTTATTTAAATCGAATAATACATGTATTAAGAAGTACAGTAGTAATATAGTAAATTTTGATTATTTTATTTTTTATCAATTATTTGAAAAACTTCTAATTCATCAAATTTGCTACCATATATATTGATGTTATTATAAGTATTTGAACAACTGTAAATACCATTATCTGTAAAAAATCGAATGTCACTACCATTACCAAAAATAGGTAAACAAGAAGGATCACATTTGATTGCATATGAACAATAATCATTATTTTCAAGATAGCTAAATTGTGCAGTATTAATATCATTTCTATCATTTATATTAAATATAAAACTTTCAATTGTTTTTTTATAACCATTTCCATTCCAATTGAGTGGATTATAACCACCAATTATTTGATCTGACTTTTGTATTTTACCAGCTACAAGAGTTTTGTTTATATTATCACATCTTTGATGAAATATTGTATGATCTAAACCATCTCTACTACTACAATATAAAAGTTTAAATTTATATTTAACTTCTCTGTGTGAATTATATGGTGAGTTTTTTCTATCTATCCAACTTGCAAAAAGCAAAATAAGCTTTTCATTAATTGTCATTGATTCAAGCCTTGGATTTCTTGATGGCAATAAGTTCAATGCTTGTTGACTATTAGGAACTAAATAATATTGTAATAGGTTGTTCCAGAAAAACTCAGTAAAAAGTTTCTGATAGGGTACAATTTTATTGAAAAATTCCTCATTAGAAATATCCTGAAATCTTATTAAAGAAATAAACTCCTTTATTGTGTTGCTTAAATCAATAAAATTTTGTGATGACCAATTTTTAAGATCATTATTATTGATTTCTGGATGTCTTGATAATCCACATTTAAGAACATTTTCCCAAATAACTATTTCATCAACAGAGAAATCATCTCTTTTGAGAATTTCCAGTAGAATTGGTTTTTCCAACGACTCAAATTCATTTGACTGAAATAATTTTTCACTATAATCACAAAATTTTTTTAAATAGATATTTTTCAATTCCTTAAATATTTCATTAGAATAAATCAATTGTAGAATTTTAACTGGATTTTCTTTTATATAATCTTCATATTTTTTAATAAAATAATTCATTGTATATTCATAAAGTGATTCAAGTCCAAATTCATCAGCTGCAATTAATATTTCTAATACATCAACTCCAGCAAGTTCATCTAATTCAATCTTACATGTATACAAAAATCTTTAAAAATAAATAATAGTTATTATATATTCAATAATAAATTAATAAACAAATTAATATAATAATAATTTAGTATAAACTTTAGAATGTTTTTGAAAGGTTGCTCATTAATATTGACTTTTTTAACAATATAATAACCATTTTCTTTTGTTGCATTACTTAATGCAACCCTAAAAAAAGGGCAATGAGTACATATGATGGATGCATGTGCATGAATTTCCTTTATGTTTGGTTCTACACCTACATATATTTTTACATCATAAAAATCCCGTGTTTAATAATCTTTTATTTTCATTAAAATACTTTTCTAATATTGTTGAGTCCATTTTTTTTTTGAATTGTAAAATGGAAATGAATGGCAATCAAATGTTATTCTATGGTTGCGACCAAATTTCAAAATAGCAATTTTGTAATTCATTCAAAAATGTAATAAAATTTTTCAAAAAAATAGGACTTCACGTGATTTTAGTTTTCTTACTGCCAAATTTAGATACGATAGTTAAGAGCTAGACTAAATTTGGTAATATTTTTTCATAGTGGACAAATTCCTCGCGGGCATAGTAAAGTACATGTTTTAAAAAAGAATAGAACTCTACAACAAATAATTTTTTTGAGAAAATCTCTCTATTACATTAAAACTAAAGACATATTCTATCAACTAATAGAGCTATTTTTTTAAAAGGTAGGACAGAAAGTGACTTCTATACTTTTAAAATTGCCCAAAATTTAGGAGGTCTTTAGACCAAGCCAACTATACAATACCAGGGCTGGCAGCATAAAGGGGTTAAAACCTAATTTGGTAATAATAAACTTGACTAAACTTGACTTAACAAATAGTTTAGTCAGTTTAGCCAAGTGCTCATTTGAGTTACGCAGCCAGCTGATTAATACCCTAAAATGATTGGGTAAGTTTATTGTAAAAATGGTTGATGTGAAATTAGAAAAACAATGTAAATTGTATATCTTCAAATTTAATCCTAATGAAAAATGATGTTGAAAAAAGGATGCCAAAAAAATATTAATGAAAGAGATAATGATCAAAGGGATGTAGCCCAAATAGATTTAGAAGCAATCCAATGGTGGGTAAGGAAAAGGAGAAAGAGATGGAAATCGAAAGTGACAAAGATAATGAAAACAAAGATATTAATATTAATAATAAGTATCAAAAGAGTAGTAGTTTAATTATTTTTAATAAATTTTTCTATGTAATTGTTGCTGTATTGTGTCATGTCTATTACAAATATTCATGAGAATATGTAATACATTTGATATTACTGCTCTTAAATTTGCAGAGTTAAAAATTGATATTTGTATCACTCAAGTAATGATAATATAGGACCATGTAGAAATGAAACTTTTATGAAACCAATTTGGGAAATCCTCACAAGCAGAATCGGAAATGATGTTTTTGTTCAATTGTAATGTGGATTCAGTGTTGGTAGTATATGTATTAGCCCATCATCTTGTCATCCAAGTGATAGTGGAAAATCTTCAGTAGTCAAGCCACCATTTGTTCCTTTTTTTGTGTGTGGATTGTGCAAATCTTACACAATTACAAATTGTAGAATTTCTTAAAAATCAATGATAAAAAAATGAAATGAATAAACAGAGTGTCCATCAAACAACATGTAATTGCATTGCTTTCACACTGGAATTCTTTTCATAGGCAAGGAAGTTGAGCAGGTCGGAAGCAAGGTTTCTGATCCAAAAAAAAAGTAGCTTTGGCAATAGTTTGGGCTCCTCAATATTTTTTATAAGAATGGACAAAAAAATATGGTCAGCATATTGGACAAAGGTATCAGCAGTGTTGCTGAATGTGGATTGAGTCAGATATTCAAGAAATCAGGCTTAAATGCAGTTAAACATTGTTGTAAATTTAGAAAAAAAAAAAGATATCTGCCAACCTTTTTTTTTCTAGAAATTAGAGGAAGAATCCAGACTTAAAAAGCACTATGATTAATTTTTGGGCATGATTGGGTTATTTCTCAAGTCAAAACATATTTATTTATTTTCGAAAAATATTGTGAAATTTGAATTATTTATATACATTAGAGGACTACTTTATTGACTTTGATGATGTTGTCAGCTAAGCATTGTACCTTGTTGACTTGGTCAATTTTGTTGTTTGTCAACTATGTGCACGCAGTGTTGTTCAAGTGCGTCTTAACACAAAACTAGAAATTATCTGCAATTGATTTCCAAATTTGGTTAGCACTTGCTGATTCTGCCGAATTTCGAATTAAAGAATCAAAATAAATAAATGCTCCCTTCCTTATTGAATTTTATTTTTTAGCATAACAATTTATTATGCTTAAATGTAGCCAAATAAAAGAATATAAATCATTGTTGTCAAATTCAAATCCACATCAATTTTAAATAGCCAAAACACAAAATTTTTGACACAATTTGATTTTGACTTGCTGCATTATCATAAAGATTCATGTAGTGAACAAGTTCTTGATCATACTACCAATATGTTTCTACAGTTAAATGCAAGTTATTTTGAAAATATGTCATTATATTTTCATTTTTTATAGTGTATTAGTATGTGATCCTAGCATAATGGACATTCGTTTATCACATAGTGACAAAATTGAATGCAGATCTTTTTTATGCTGTGCAACAGCGTATTTTCAATTGTTTTAAAATAGAAAAGGCTGGTTATAACACGGGTGATTAAAAACTACTTGTAAAATGATGATGTTTTGCTTGAATATACTTTTCGTTAGTTAAAAGGCTTGGACAAAAAGATCAAGGGAGATCATTGATTTTGAAGGATTTCAATATGTACCGAATTTTTTCAATTTTATAAACATAATTTTATACAAAAAATAAAAAAAATATTTATTAATCTTGAAAGGTAATTCTCAAAGAAAAACAAACTAGATTATAAACTAATATATAGACAGGTAAAGAAATAATATATATAACATACACATATTTACACACATATATATAAACTATTATTAAAACAACTATTTTTTTTCATTATTTCAAAGATGACAATTCTCAAAGAAAAACAAAACTGGATTATAAAATAATATATATTATATACATATATATATAACTATTATTAAAAAATTATTTTTTTATTATTTCAAAGATGACAATTCTCAAAGAAAAACAAAACAAAACTGGGTTATAAAATAATATATATTATATACATATATATATACAGTAACTATTATTAAAAAATTATTTTTATTATTATTTCAAAGATGACAATTCTCAAAGAAAAACTGAATTATAAAATAATATATATTATATACATATATATATATAACTATTATTAAAAATTATTTTTATTATTATTTCAAAGATGACAATTCTCAAAGAAAAACAAAACAAAACTGGATTATAAAATAATATATATATATATATATATATATAACTATTTTTTATTATTTCAAGGATGACAGAGAATCCTCAAAGAAAAACTAATATATAGACATAATAAGCAGGTAAAGAAGCAATATATTTATTTATACTGTATATATATACAACTATTATTAAAAAATATAAGGAAAAATATCTCAATTCTATTTTTTTTTTTTTATTTCAAAGATAACAGAGAATCCTCAAAGAAAATCAAAATTAGATAGATAATAAGGTGTATTACAACTAATATAAATAATAGGTATACTTCATTGCATATTTAATAACATTAAAGGTTGATCATGATGTAAAATTCAATTTATATGTGGAAGGGATATATAGGCATATGAATAATTGATATCATTCAAAATGATGTGAATGTGTTAATATTAGATGGGAAATCTACATTTTTTTGGTAGGAAAAAAACACATGTATTCATAATTGTAGCATTTATAATTTTTGAAGTGCATTCTTCTTCATATTTGGTTAATTACCCACCCAATGCAAAGAGGAAAAATGATTGGGATTGCAAAGGAAACTATTTATTATGATTTTATGCATACATTTTATATTCATATTCAATTAACTACATTGGATGTTGACCATCCTAAAACAATTTTAATATTTGACAATTTGAAAAATAAAATTTTTTATTAATAGTAATTGTTTAAAGTTGTATATATATATAAATTATAAATTATGTGTTTTTGTAAAAGATCTTCAAGCCAATAAAATTTGATTTTTGTGTGATTTTTTGGAGGGTGATCATCGTAAAATTTAGCCAATGAAATCCAAGTCACAATGTGATAAACGAATGTCCATTATGCTCCTGTAGATCATTACATCATTCCTATTTTTAATTTATTTTATGACATAATTATTTACTTCAAATTATTAATCAAATTATTTGTAATAATGACTCATAGGATTAGTAATTATGAGTCAGAGCATTAGTAATTAATGATTAGTAAGCTAGTATTACAGAAAATAGGATTAATAAGCATATTTTATTGGACAAAATATTGTAAAGGTCATGTTATTTGTAATACCTCAAGAGGTATAAAAGAGCTGGTTTAGACCAAGTGAGAATCATCATGTTCATGATAATAATAATAATAATACAATAATAACCTTGTAACAAATATATCATCAGTAATAAAGACACATAACACTTTTACAATAAACACTTGAATCCTTAATAAAATTCGTTGATAAACCTTTGCTGAAAAGCACTCTTCACCTTAAATTAAGACCATAATAACTAGGGGACACCTTAGCTAGACAGTGGAATTTTTATTTATCATTTTTAGGCTTTGGCCAACAGTACTTCATATTAGTACTGTAGAGAGAGAATTGCACAATAGAGTGTGCTGATACAGAGGCCTGAGAGAGAGAATTGAGAACCCTGAGCTGTGTGGTGATACAGGGAGATTTATATATTGGACTTTTTTTTATTTATTTTATCTTATATATTTATTGGACACATCACGAGCTGTATTTGAATTTACATGCTCGCAGCAACAGGAGAGAACATACTGGGAACACAAAAATTAACAGGAGGGAATACAAAATTTTAACCCATGCAATTTGTTGATTGACCAATTAAAATC